CTTGTTTTGGTCTGTTCTCATTTTCTGGATTTACTGTAAAGCACGTACGAGATAAAAATATATTCGACTCACTAGTTTCTAGTGAACCTGAGTCAAAACTACTCTGATTTCATATACAGTCTTCTGCAGCTTTGGGCCTTTTCATGCCTATCAGAGTAAAAACAGCATGGCTGAAATATTTAAACTAGATAAAACATTTTGAATAGTAAATAAACCCTAAGCATACTGTAAATAGTAGAATTAGGATTTATTGTGCAGCTCACGTACTAACGTTATTCCTGATCGTTGGAGCCAATTTTAAAAAAGTCACTCGTTCTGTCGTCTTCTACTTTCAAACAAATTCTCTTAATTTTTAAGGAAAGAGAAGTAAACTGAAAATTTTTATTTTTTTTATGGGAAAATATTACTGGGCACAGACCAAGTTGGGAACCCAATTGATTAATCGGTTACATCAGGACAGTATTAACAGTCCTTTATCTAACTTGCAGTATATTGACAAATCAGTTTTAATATATGTATTCATGGGCATGTGAGTGAAATACTATCAAACATTTAAATACGGCGTATTCTCAGACTGAGAACACAGCGGATCACTGTCGAGGGAGACGTGATGCAGAGTCATTTTCTGTTCTTCGGTTTCTACTTTAATTTTCTGGATGACACATAGCAGGTTCTCACTTCTTCTATAGCTGCTCTTATCTGTCAAAGGCAAACCTTTAAATAAATAATTGTAACCCTGTCAAGTAAGTTGAAAAAAAATATCTGCAGCTGTCCTTATGAAGTCCCTATGTATGCATCTCAGGGTGCTTTGATGTGTAACATTTTAAGCCCAACTGAAAACGCTTAAAACTCGTATTTTTAGTGGGTGAAGCTAAATTTGAGCTTATCCCTAACTGTACCTTTACCATTTTAATAATCACTATGAGTGTCACTTAAGCTGCAGTAATTAAATCAACAAAATTCAAAAAAGAAGAAGATATGCTAAGTGCTTCACGGCTAATGTTCAGAGTGGGAATTTTCTGATAAAGTAAATTGTATCAGCACACATCCTTGTCTACTAAGTTAGACTTAGATAAAAAGACTTCAAAAACACTTCACAGCGTGCCGTAAAAAATGTAATCCCTCTATAAGATTCACCAAACTTTTTTCAAATGCATGTTATGAGCTGTCTAACCAAATCACAGGCCAAATTATGCTCTGAACGGATTAAGGACTGCATTTATTATACCACACTTCAGAGTTAGGGTGCACGTTCAGAAAAAAAAACAGAGGTATGGAGAAAAAAAGTGATCTCATCCTTATCCCAACTATATTCTCCAAATAACCTGTCATATAATTAACTTTATATAAAAAGCTTACCGCTCTCAGCTCAGTCTGCTCTCACCATCTGTTACTATTTGTATTTTTTAAGTTAGGATTAGATTGTTGGTGGATGTCTAGAAATATTAAGCGCTAGCTGCGCAAGAGGCTGTTTCCACCAATAGAAATATGCAAGGCAGCTAATTAATTAATGTTTAGTGAACAATGTATTTCAGAGGACTCCTTCACATGACTGATGAACGGTTTAGATGGGTGTTTACCAAAGGATGAGGCATGAATGACAACTACCTTAAAAACAGTAAATTTTAAATGTATGGGAGTGGGAGTGTGTTTGGCGTTTCTCTACCCGGCAACAGAGAGCTGAGTCATCTCTGTCACAGCACTCCCACGCCTACCCACGCTGCACTGCTCTCAGTCTCTCTTGGCGGTGGAGATGCATGGCCACGGACACGATACCAAAACTAACTGCATCACTTCATTCTGGCCCACAGGTGACAAAAACATACATTTACCGTAAACGGGGGGAGCCTTGGCGGAACAGGGCTGGCATAGGTGGGTGTGAGTGCATTGTGTGTATGTGTCGTGTGTGAGTGAGTGTGCCATCTGACAATACATGGAAACTGATACCACTTATCAAACATTACGAAAAGTGCGTGGACCGAAAGGAGTGTTTGAAAGAGCGGAGAGCAAGAAAGAGAGTGAAAGAGTTGTGTTTCTATGTACATATTTTGACCTTAATTTCATACAGCCCAAAGTGCTTCATAAAGCATGATTAGTATTGTGCAGACCAAGCATGGCCTAACAGTTAGAACTTAATGAAGCTCAAGGTCAAATACATCATTCCAGTGTGAGTAGAGAAATGGCACTGCTGATGCATTTTTGGCATGTTAACAGTTTAAAAGGGATTTACATGTAAAAAGGGAAATCTTTCATCTTAAATGATGATTTAAGCCTAAACATGAGGCAGATGTAAGGCTTCCCAGAAGTCCACATTAACACACTCCCATAATATTTGTCTGATTAAATAACCCCATGTGACCTAACTACCTCCGGGCATTTTGTTTAGCTTGCACAGCTGTTCACTTGATCATGTTTTAATTAGTCGTTCGACTCCTGTTTTCAGCATGAATGTTTTTGTGCATAGGACATAAATGACAGGTTTGTAACTTCTTGAGCCCAAATTATACTTTCCATGTCCAATGAGCCACAAGGAACTGAACACTGGCAATAAATTCTCCAGCTGCATATCTCAGAGGTTTTGAGCCATGTCACGACATCCACAGGCTGTATACGCGAACAAGACTCAGCATGTCTCCTGTGTTTCTGTCTCAGCATATTACTGGACAGAAACATAGAGCAACTGTCTGCATTTGTCCAAGTGACAACTTTGTACAAAAATACACATCTAAGAAACTTTAAGCTGAGCATTTTTGTTGTTGCTATTTTGTTATTTGTATGTGACAAAAGCAGTGAATCTGACTAAGAAACTGAGGGAAACTCATACTGAAGCGATCCATCGATTACAAGCGAAGCCCACCCTAAAGCATACTGTACTTTAACGTCCTTTGGACAAATGAAAGCCATCATTTACAAAATGAACATCATGTTGTCTCAATTACACCTTGGAATTAACAACTGAAACCCTAAACTCATAAGGCTAGTGTTTACTGGCATCATAGATTGAGGGAGCTGAGGGTTATCTTCCCGTTAAAATCTATTAAACTGGGCCTCTACTTGCAAAAGGAAGAGTTGCCCCTTGCTGATCATTGGAAACCATGAACATTTAAGGCACTTGCACACTGGCTTCACGTTCCAGAGCTGAAAGATTTTTAGCAAGCACAAAGCTAGAAATGCTCACTGTCCAGCTATCACGTTTTTCACGACATGCAAGACTGTGCCCGCAGCTACAATGATAAATGCAACTCACATTTATTCTGGATAAAATGACCCTTTTTACTGATGCAGTTTGAGCCATTTTGTCTAAAACCTTCCTTATTTATTCAACTTTCATTGCAAAAATGCTACTCCGTGTGAAAACATGATTTTAGGTGTCTTAGTGGGTTAGAACCATTAAGTTGGTGACTCAAACAAAGAAGTGGCTAAAAATATCACTGCTGCTAATAGATTTAATAGACAAAGTACAAAGAGCTGAGCTCCATTTGCTATACCTGCTAGATAAATAATTTAAACGTCACCTGTCACGAAAATGGCAAACTGGGGTAAAGGCTGTGTGGTGCAAAGTTGAATTAGATCATGAACAAATCTCTCACTTTTTTGGAAGCAATGTACCACACAGAGTACCAGCTAGAATCCCAGTAGCTAGTTCTCCAGTAGCTTACCCAGTTTAGTTTTATATTCGTCCATTTTTCTCACTCAAGAATTTAAATATGCAAGTTTCCATTTGCCACTGAATGCAGCATTAACATGAACTACAGCTGATATAGCTCGATTTTGTGATTTTGGTCAGATAAACAGATACAGTTCAACATTTGGTGTGTATATGTTTGTTGTTTCTGTCACTGCAGATCAAACAGCAAAGCAATGCTCAGTTAGCGCTTGATGAAAATAACCTTCTAGTAATCTTCCAGCCTTTATTTACCAAGTGATAGTCTAATTACTTTTATTTATTTATTTACTTTTGCAATCTATGCCTCACTATATGTCTGGCACGTTATAATAACGCTGCAACCTGTGAAGCAATAAAGCCCTCACTTCTAGCTAGCCTACTCAAAAAGGCCTTTCTGTTCATTCAAAATGTGAATCTGGAGCACAGCATAATGTTTGTGTTTTTGATTTTCCTCCTCATAAGCATGACTTTACACAGCTTACAGATCTTTGCGTCAGTGCAGGCTGTGAAACTCCCACTAACGTCACTAAAATACTCATTCTTGTACACAGACTGATCAAAGTGATTAACGTGCTCCTGATCTGGAACTCTTTGATCCCCTTGTTCCATCTGCAGACAGCTGCTTCAATATCACCAGGAGATATAATACCGCCACTTTCACTTTAGCCCTTTAGAGGTGCGGTCAGTGCGTCACACTATGATTAAATGACTAAGTTTAGAGTTATTGTACATGCCAAGTGCTGAATATAGCCAATATCTGCCACAACCGGTCCGACTGCCAACTAACTCAAAACATTTTTCTTCACAGTGCTATTTACCATCTCTTTCATTCTCCACTGTCCGATTTTTCATTACGTTTCCTATTTTTAACCCATCTCAGCAAAAGGCGAACCTGTGTTTTGCATGCTGTGCTATTTTGTGCTGTAGGAAAATATTGTGTGCTCTATTTTTAAAAAAAGCAGCTTATTAACGTCTTTTTCTTTACTTAAGAGGGATAAAACGAACTCAAATGGCCCCGCAATCAAATTCACAAGGTTCCGAAACATTTGTAACATCTTCAAGCTAGTACCTGATTCCTTCCTGCTCTATAAGATTGTATTTTCTCTACTTTTATAAATACACAATGTGTGATCTTTCCTTTACTTTGATCTATTTTACCAAATGTCTTAAAGAAGCAAAGCTTTTCTACAACATCTGCAGAAATTACTACCGAGCGGCACACAGATTAAAATATGAAAGAAGAGAGTTTCCTAGAACTGTGTTTCTTCTAAGTCTGATAAACATCAGTCAGTGCTAAAAAACAAAGCTAATGTCCAGCTTGAGGTTTACTTACCAGTTTGTCTCTCCTCATCCTCATCTTCATCAGAAAGTCAATGAGAACTAAAAGGGTAGAGAAAGAAAGAGAGAGAGGAAAAAGAAGAAGGAATGTTTTAATCACTCTGAAGGAAGCCAGTTATCTTCCCACTCACATTGCTGAATATCCTAGTAAGGCAGACACACAGCACATGCACACTCTCTCATACACACACACACAAACACACACACATACACACAAAAATACACACTCAGAGATGTCTCCAAAGGTCAAGATGAATCAGGGGGAAGAGAGAAAAGGTGGTGGACAGAGACAGAAAGGGTGAGAGTAAAATAGAAAATAAAGATCCAGAATAGAAAAGAAGAATGAATAGAATGTAAAGAGCAAAGCAAATGACAGAGGGAGGAGAGAGCACAGAGAGACTGGAGAGAGAAAGAATGAAATGCATGGCTCGGCTGAGTCATCAGTAACCACCACTTCCTCCAACGCACAGAGCTCTACTAATGACTGGCCAACTTCTGAGTGCACACACACACACACACACACACACACACACACACACACACACACACACTTAACCTGCCATCTATCTACTTTCCACTTCAAACTCTTTTCCTTTAAAGCAGGAAAAGAGTGTGTCTGTCCATCTTTGTGAGAACTAATTTAAATCAAAAACAAAAAACCACTGAAACTGAGGCTGTTTACGCTTGTCCTAACTCTGAGACAGCACACTGAGACAGACCTTCAGTGTGCTGTCCAAGGGTTCAGGTGGGGGTTAGGAATTTAGTTGTTATAATTGAAGTTTCTCCAATGTGCTTTGTAATTCCTTTTCTCACTGAGAGTCCTCACAAGCCTTAAAGTGCAAACATGTGTATGTGTATTTAGGAAAAAGCCTGAGAAGGCATGTCATGAGCCGACCCCACAGTGTGTGTCATGAGAAAATGGCACAACAACTAGACAGTTTTCCCTTTTCCCAGAATTCCCAGGGGCATGGTCTCTTAGCTTTCATGTGTTGGGGGAGTTGCTTTCCTTCACACCCACAAGCTAAAGGGCTGGAGAAACCAGGCTAAGTGCCTTGGATAAAGAAATAGCTCAACAGTTGCATGTTTGAAGCTTATTGGTCTGATATCCACCAGTTCAAAACTAGGTCTATAACTTTTTCATAAAAGAATGACATTTTTTAAATAGATTTGATAGATTTGCTGGCAATAAAAGACAATCTTCCCAACTTCAGTAGATTGTACACCATTACTTGTTCTGACCAGCAGGCTTTACTACACAGGTTAGCTTTAAAGGTAGCACTAGACTGAGCACATGTTTAGTGTAGCTGAACTGTACTGAAAGTACTGTAGCAGGACAAAAGCCCACTGACAACTCTAAACCTCACTTATTAACCACAAAGAATCTTGCTGTGTTCTTAAGGAGAATTGTAAAAAAGTAACTAATTGGGTCTCTAGTAAACAAAGTTCTACCAAATTGTTCTACAAAGGAACAATTTCCTGATTACACTAGATAATTATCTTATGCACAACAGGTTGCCTAACATGCTATAATTTTTACTTTTGGTTTAGAACACCGTTAACCCTTTATAGGACACTAACTGAAATACTTGAAAATTCCAATTTTCAACCCTACACTTTTTTTAAACGTTTGTATTTCTAGAAAACTGGTCTACCGAGATTTTCCTGAACACCCATCTCTAGGATTTAGAGAGAAGTGTCTGAAAAGGAAAAAATATCCAGTTCTCACAGTTCTCTGAGCAAATATGTCTTGTTGATGTCAGAGGTCAGAGGAGAATGGCCAGACTGCTTTGAACTGACAGGAAGGCAACAGTAACTCAAATAACCACTCATTACAAAAGTATGCAGTATACAGCAACAGAAGACACCACCTGGTGCCACAACTGTCAGCTAAAAACAGAACACTGGGGGTACAATTTGCATGAAAGCATGGCTCCATTGTGCTTGTATCAGTGGTTTGGGGTGATGGGGTAATGGTGTAGGGATATTTTACTGGCACACTTTGGCCTCTTTAGTACAAACTGAACATCATTAAATGCCACAACCAACATGAGCATTGCTGCTGAAAATGTCTGTTCCTTTATGATCACAGCATACCCATCTGTGGTTATGCTGTGATCATAAAGGGTATACCAATCATCTCAAACTGGTTTCCTGAGTATGATCATGAGTTCACTAGACTCAAATGGCCTCCACAGTCTCCAGATCTCATTCTGATAGAGCATATTTGGACTGTGGCAGAAAAGAAGATCTGCATCATGCATGTGAAGCTGAACAATCTGCAGAAACTGTGTGAAGGTATGATGTCAATATGGACTAAAATCTCAGATCAATGTCTCCAGCACCTTTTTAAATCTATGCCAGGAAGAATTAAGGTAATCCTGAAGGCAAAAAGTGATCAAATTCAGTAGTAGCAATGTGTAACTAATTAAGTGGCCGGTGAGTGTATGTAGTCACCAACAACCATATTTTTATGTCTTATAAACATGTAAAACTTGTTAACTTCAAAGTTATTTATAGGCTTTTTCTTCAGGTTCAACAAGGTGACAAGATTAGAGCATTTCTCAAAAATGTTTAATCCTTAAATGCCCAGTTACCACTTGTGATTTAGGAAGTGTCTGCAAGTGCAGCATCAATGTACAAGCTATATATAATTGCACAAGTGAAACTCGGTAGATCTCTGAGGTCAAAACTGGGAATAAGACTGATGGTGAAAGTGCAACTTTAGGACAATAAGTCTGATGAACTGTAATGACCGATGAATCACAATAGCAATAACCTCAGAGGAAACAAACAAGGCTGGGCACAAGCTTTAAGCCACTTGGTGTGATTTCTTTTAAATCCTCCATCATTGCTTTTAAGGAAATGGCTTTATTTCACGTGAATGTGTTTTATTTATCAGAGCCCTTAAGCATTTGCATTTTTATCTTGACCAGCACTTTTGGTGACATTTAGAAACTTGTCACCTTGCCTGGCATTAATACATATTAACAGAGCATTAATACAACATATAAAGTGGGAAAAAATTACTGGATCATTCTGAAAGTGTATCACCCTATTGCTAATTCTTTGTTTTTTATATCCATCTACGCATCTACAGTAACTTTTCGCCTGACATACTCCATTACAGTTTGCACTGACATTATGAATCAGTTTGCCTCTGGGGTTATTGTAATACAACCCCCCACGTCCAGCTCCATCTCCTATCCGGAGGAATTCATGGGAACTTTGAGCCAACTTCGTAAATACACGTTTCCTCCTCTGCAGTTCCCACACTTTTCCCAACACACTTACACACACACACACACACGCACACACACTCACACATACCCCTATTATATACCCATAGACAGAGACAAGTATAGACTTGGGCATGATGTCTCATGCAAATTGTGCATAGTCATACTGGCAGTAGCAGAAGATTACACCGGATGCTACTGTAGTTCAGGCTGGTTAATTACTGTATATTGCTGATGAACAGGATATGACAGTTTTGCAGCATTACCGCTACAATGCAGGCTCTATATGGTAATCTCTGGTAGAAGACCATTCGGCATGCATTAGCACATGCTTCAGTTACGGCAGTTTATTAAAAGGGAGATAGGAAACTTAGCTGCTCTGTGAAACTTGAATTGTTTTCTGTTTATTTCAAATGAAGCAACCGAACCATATCGTCTCAGTACTCCCATTTCAATTGATGAGCAAAACGTGCTACAGTCGTAAGGCCTAAGACCATATAGCCATGTAGCATTTAGCTAAAAGCTAGGCTACATGTCAACTTCATCTTGTTAGTGCTTAATACAACAGTGCTGGTGTATGTACAATGCTAATAATCTTAAATTAAGACAGTGTGTGTAAAAGTGTATATCACGTCCAATTAGTGGGGAATAAAGCCACTGCAAGTGTGGTGTGAATGACCAGGGAAAATAAAAGAGTGAACGTAAACTGAAATAATATCATTTTTATGTGGAAAATAGACGAAGAAAAAAGAATATGCTTATGCTCGTGCTGCTCTGTGTTTAGATCTGTTTATTTTGTGTCCATACCTATAAATGTGGGGGCATGAACTGGTTTTTGAAGTTAGGCTTACTAGAAGAACAATAAAGTGTTAAAACCATGTTTATAGCGCTTTAAGGATTGGTCATCAAATAACATTTCAAATATATGAACTGGGAAAGCCGTAACCCGAGTAAGCACCCTACAGATTTCCCCAAATTGCCAACCCCTTGACTTTCTGCCATGCCACTGTAAATCACATTTACAAAGGCAGCTGAAGAAATGAGTCATGTGAGGTTAAATGGGCAGTGTGTGTCAGCATAAGTGGAAATCAGTCATCATTTTTGTGACTTAAAGTAAAATAAGCCCACCAGTTGCTACCTGACTGGCTATTGTTTCATTTGAGAAGTCAGCAAAATACATAATGTAAGCTGTCCAAACAGAAACCATGTGGAGCCCAACAGAAAATCAAAGTATCACCTTTCTTATAATGACTTAGAGTTATACATGCTCTTATCATGACATGACTAGATTATTGTAATCCTTTCTATGTAGGTTTACCACAGTCATCACTTCGCTAGCTTCAGCTAGTAGAAAACGCTCTTTGACGTTTAACTGGGACGGGAAAACATGAACATATTACGCTAGTTTTAGCTGCACTCATTAGCTCCTTGCTAATTTTAGGATTAATATTAAGGTTTATTGATCGTTTCTCTTGATTGGCTTATTAATGAACACACTCCTGTAAGAGCCATGAGGTATGGTAATCAGCTGATCCTCAATATTCTAAGATCTAGACTTAAAAACCGAGGTGTCCGAGCTTTTTAAGTTGTTGCCCCGTGTCGTTGGAATACCTTACCATTTGATAATAGAACTGTTTCTATTTTTAAGTCTTTGCTCAAGACTCCATTCTGCCTCTGGCCTTTAATTCAAGCTAAGCTAAGCTAAGCCTTGATATCGTATAGTTATCATTCTTGTCATTAATATTGATATCATTTTATACTGGCTGCCTGTGAAGCACTTTGGTCAGCCTTGGTAAAAGTGCTTTACAAATAAACTTGACCAAGAATTCAAGCCATTTCAAATTGCCAAGGCATTCTAGTATGAATAAAAGTAGATCAACTAATTGGGAACCACTCTTAAACCTTGCCATACCAAATAATCTCACAACCCAGAAGAAGCTGGGAAGCTATTACCCTGTAAAAATCTACAGACTCCTCTGAGTTAACAAAGACGTGCAATGAGCTATGACTTTCTTACAAACTCCAAATAATGTGATCATCATTAAACTTACAGAGAAAGACTTTCCCTACATGCCAACTGTCTCTGGGGTAAAATTCACCCTGAAAATGGTGGATTTAAAAAAAAAAGAAATAACCAAGAAGTCAATATGAACAGCTGCCACAGATAAACATGCAAAGAAAACAAAAATCCACAGAAACTGAAACTTTATCTGCTTTATCAAGAAAGTTCAAGACGTCACAGTACAGCACACAAACACACAAACACACGTACACACACAGAATAAGGATTAAAAAATAAATTACATATATATATATATTTTTTTTTAAATTAGGTTGTTTTCAACAGTTTTAATAAAACAGTTACCAAGAAATTAGCTTAGGTGTTCCAAAACAGAAAAACAAGCCTGTTTACTTGACTGCCACGTAGCTCTGCTGAGTACATGCACAGAAATCAAGAGAGAAAGTAAGACGTTGAGAAATGCTGGCTCAGCAGAGTGCTCATTGTGGGAGGATTGTGGGAGATTGAGTCTATATATGAGTCAAGGAGCCATTACACATATTATCAGAATGAATAGCATGGCAGTCTATCTTTAGTGTCTGTGTGGGAATCAAATATGTGTTGTACAGCTGGGATATGGCACTAAACATTCTACCATACCATAAAGACAATGGGTGTTTTTCACATTTCCTGCTACTCTTTGAATGTTATAGTTAAAAAAAAGCAAGTCTTTATGAATTATCACCTGAAGACATGTAGTATGGTACTGTCATCTTTGTCTACAGTTTATGTTGTAGCTGTGTACTGACACCTTTAACATTATTATACTTTGCTGATTTGGAGTAATTAGCAAACAAACTCTTCCAATCCACCAGTGAATAGGCCTGTTTTCCAGTACCTGAAAAGCTCCCAATCTCTGGCTTGACCAGTTGAAATGTCCCATGACTTTCCTAAACAAATCTGAGACAGTGAAATAGAACACAAATCCATCTTTTCCCATTTTCTTTCCTTTAAAAGGCACCAGTGTTGTGCCTTTCAAATAGCCCATAGTGAAATTTACAACCAAATTATGACCTATGCTGTTTATATGCTCAGATGGGCTTTTTGACTGCGTTGCTGTTGTAGTATTTCTGAATGTTCAAGGCATTTTATCTTCATTTTTATCAGTGGCTTGGTGGGCCTGAAATGCATGAAACCAGTATTGCAGATTGCATCTTGTGCAAACATGACTGTGTAACACCGTAATTTTCAGTTTTGATGGCTGTTGCATTACTTGCCTTCTCATAAATCTAAAGCAGGATGAAATCTTGATTGTTAGCGGTTTACTGACCAAGTGTTTAGTTGCTTTAACCCTATATGTATAAATATTTAGCTGCCTTAACCGTATAAGAACAATTAATTGATCTAAAAAAAAGGCAGGATGTCATTCTCTGTGTTCTCTTGACAGCAGTACATTAACTGCGTCACCAACTCCTATTTAAATGAAAGGTTGCTATCCTAACACATTTTTTAATCTAAAAAAACCTTAATAGTATATCTTAAATGTTAGTAAACAACCTTTAAACTGGTGCCACACACTTATACTCCAGTTTTTTTCCACCTAGTCAGCTTTTTTAATGTTGCTAAAACAACCACTAACACAACAAACTGAAGTATGTTTGTATAAAGTATTTAAAAATTCACACAACAGCTTAACTTTAAGGAGTGCAGGTAGCAGGTGAAAAAAAATCTGTTGAATATTGGGGATGGGTTTAATGCTCAGTGGTACGTGGAGCAATAACCAACAGTGAGACCTGCTCATGAGGCTGAAGATGAAGTTGGTGAAGTCAGATTTCTTCTGACTGGATGCTCCTGGCACTTGAGGTTTGAACCACAAGTTGGTGGTGCTTCTGTGCCAACAGCCAGAGCTGTGTGCGTGAGATGGCCAAATAAAAGATATCCACTTTCTGTGACATCACAGAGAGTAAAGAATAGAAAAAAAGGAGTGTTTAGAGCCTGAGCTTTGCACATACATTAATATTCATGTGGCTGTGTGTAATACGACCATCCACTACTGTAACAATGGCTTTCCTTAACAGAAAAACCTAATGGGATCCTTTTAATGGCACTTTCTATTTGACTTGGCCTTTAAGAGCCAATAAAAGTTGAAACGTTGTTGCACTTACTTAAACTATGTGAAAAAAAGATATTTGATCTCACCTTAGGATTTCTATCATGTCATCTCTCTGCCAATACTTTTCCATCTTGTCAAAAAAAACACTCCCTCCTCTGTCCTCTAAACCATGAATTTGCCATTATTGGTCGCTGCAGTGGCAGCGCTGACGTAAGTGGAACAATTTGTCTGGTAATGTTTTGCATGGAAACACTGTTAGGCAGAAGGACTCAGAGATTTTACAAGTGGGAATAATCCAGCACCCACACAGCCATTTACTGTATCTCACTTTTTCTGTTACTGTCACGCTGCGTTCATTTATCATAAGTATGAACAGAAATAAATAAACACTATGTATCAGTATGGTAGTCACTTGTTTTGTTTGTTTAAAATTCAGATTTTCTGGGACTCCTTGGGTAAGGCATACCGATTCTTTTAGCTTTCATCATCACTACGAAATACAGTAAATCACTGTTACACCTACGCACATTAGTCACATGAAGTTAAACGTGCATTATGTCAAGTAGAAATCTTATCATATAAGGAAAAAAGCTTGCACATCACAGAACTCCAGTTTTAATGGATGGATTTATGGACGGATGTTCCTTGTGCAAGCAAAATACTTACTGCCAGACTGACTGCTAAAAGCGCAGCAACAATTCACTGTTGTAAGTGGACCAAACCTCCAGTATGACAATGATCTCAGCAATTTAAGAATATGTGAATTTAGCAACACAGACGTGGGTCTGTGTTGCTAAATTCACAAAAATGACCTCAAAAATGACCACCAAGACAAAAACATGTGATTGCCTTGGATTTATGTTTAATTTAAAATAATAAATAAATTAATTCCCTGTCTCCCTTTAATTTTCTCTCCTTATACAATTCCCACAATCTCACCCCCAGCCTTTGGTCTCATCTCCTGCTTATTCAGACTGGGCCAGTCCAGGGTTATGACTCAGAGGGAACAGGGCTATGACTCAACCCCACTATTAGTTTCCAGGTGGTCTTAGATCCCATTGTGCTCCTGATTAGCATTCAAAGACATATGAACAGGCATAGAAGTGTTAGGAGGCACAATTCCCTCACAAACACTGCAGACTATTTGTCTGTGTGGGACTCCACATTGACTCCCTTATAAGGGAGTCAATGTGGAGTCCCAATGTCTGCATCCTAAGATTTTGCATGTGATTGTGGGAAGTAATGTGCATATCCCTGGATGTGTGTGTGTGTGTGTGTGTGTGTGTGTGTGTGTGTGTGTGTGTGTGTGTGTGTGGTCCAATGGATTGAGCATCTGTGGCAGTGAGACAAAGAAAATGTGTCTGCTCTGAGTGAGACCACCAAGGCTATGTCTGTGTCTATATCACAGGTCCATTAGTGACTCAGTCCCATAAAAACTCATTTAAACACATTTATCTAATACTTGACATGTCCCAGACGTTTAACATTTGGCAGCTGATTAATGTATGTACTACTATAAACTTACAGATTTTATCAGTTTAGCAAGAAAAAAAATCATAAACAAATAACAATTACAAATTAGGTAAGTTATTTAGGAACTGGGACTTACCAAGTGTAACTCTTCAGTTAAAATTGTGGACAATTATTGGTTATTAAAGGTAGCCCATGTCAAAGGAAAGAAGCAAAAGACCACACTATAATGTTTCATCAACATCTGGCTATAGGCCTATTCACTTTCTGTTCTCACTCAAAGGTATGAGTACAAGCCATCCAGACAACACTGGAGGCGTCATCTACGTTCCATTTTCTGACTGGAAACAAATGAAAGCCAAAGTTTCCAGGTCACTCTGTGTCTGACTTTCACATTTGTCTCCAAAATAAGACTAAGACAGGCTGTGTCTCCAAATCACCGCCCAGTCAAACCAAAACATAAACTAAATCCAGACTCCTCCGCCTGCCACAGTGTGGAAAGTTATACGTAAACAGAAGCTGCTCCTTTATATAAAGTGATATCTTTCTAATTAATGGCAATTAAAACGTAATTTGTTTTGAAATGTTAAAATTAGAAACAATAGCATGCATGTGAAGAAAATGTGCCACCTCTGATCTTAGACTACTTTACTGTATGCAATAGACACATGACAATGAAAACTAGTGACATGGAGTCAAAAATGGAAATGTTTTAAAGTACAGGTGTGGTCAGAATTGGTTCATTTTGGTGACCAATGATTTTTGTTATGTTTTCGTCACTGAACGTCATTTTCACCCTGATGAAAACAAGATGATAACAAAATCAAATTTAATGCACAAGGACAATAACAAGGATGAAATGTACTGACAATTTAATCTGTCAGATCCAATCAGACCCTAGATGCACACATATCAGCTGCCCCTGACAAACAGTATGGTGATGGGGTGGGAGGGCTTCAACCTGCTCCCAGTATCCCTGCATCTCGTGATGCGTTTTCACGTTTCAAATATCAACGCCTGGGACATACGCACACATTTTGGATTTGACGTAAAAAAAAAAAAAAAAAACACTTTGAAAACTGCGTGGCACAACTTTCACCGTTAAAAACACAAACTTTTACAGAACAAACTTTTTTAAAACTAGATCTAAATTTGCTGTCAAAATTAACTCTGTTAAGAAGATTAGACACACTTAGTCCAAAGTTACCATGACATGCACCCCCATGATGAATGTACTTATAACTTCTACCACCTGTAATTCAACTAGTCACTTTGTTGTAGCATTTGCCCCCAAATCCCTACTGTATTCTTCTCCTTAGGTAAGTGCCAAAAATTATAGTTAGTTTAGACTTAATTTTAAAATTTAGGACCATTAAGCATTTTGTGTCTGCAGACTTAACACGATTTTTTAAATTCCTGCTTTCTAAGAACAGCCACAGCTGCTGTCTGCTTCAGTTCATGTTATTTCCAATGAGAGTTTCGCACAGTTTGAAAGTGCCTTCCGGTGCAGTTTCAACATTTGACTTTTGACAATTTGGACATAAAAAATTCACTCTTTTTTTTTTTCATTTTGATGTATCTGTGTGAAATTTGGTCAAATTTAGTCTATGAAAAGAGCCAAAAAGAGCTTTGGCAAGATCACAGTGAAGAAGCGAGTTAATGTACGTGCCAAAGAAGAAGAAAAAAAAAAGAGACAAATTGTATCAGATGTGAAAACGTTATTGTGGTCACTAGAGGCTATCAGATATAAAACCCAAGAATATAATGGCTCCACCCAAGTGCTGCATAGAAACATAAGATCTTCTGCCAGTCTGTGGTTGCCAGTGTCATTTATTTTGCTGTTGTCTGTTGGGGGTGGGCATCATCAGCTTCCAGAGAAGCCCGGAAGCATCATTACTCAGAATTTGATGGCATTTTGAGTCAGTGAGGTACATGAGGTCAATGAACAAACTGCTCTCCATCGTGGACAACCCATCACACCCTCTCCACTCCACACTTCCACACCACTTCCTCTCCCTCAGACTGACTCAACCCCACAAAGAACGCTTCAGGAAACCCTTCCTACTGTTCTCTATGCTCTTCATACTGTGACAGGTGATGCACACCTGCCAGGGATAAGATCCCAAACATATTTTTGTGTTTGGGATCTTCATGCAGCTGCTTTTCTAGGATTTATAGCATACTTGTTATTTGTTAATGTAATTTACATTTCTCTCTTATGCGCTGTCAGTCTTACTTTTACAGTTTTTTTGTCACTGTTACTACCTCATCATATAAGGTGCCTGTGGCATTTGTAATGTTAACTGTGTTGTTTTTTTTTGTTGTTTATTATAGACAGCCCTATTTTTATCCATCTATAAAAAATGTGAAAAGGTTATCCAGTGACTCCTTTTTGCTAAAGGCTATGCCTAGTATAATGCTGTTTTCAATGGAAATATGTCTAAATGCATAACCTTTGTGAAACAGTTCATCCTATTCTGAAACTGCTTTTTGGTTTTTCAAAAATATTCCAGGCAGTCCAGAAGTCCTGAGTGTTGTCACAGGACCATAAAAAGTTGAGTAGATGGCCTTTGATATTGTTTTACATGTTCCTACATATCTGTCACAGTCTTTTCGTCCCATGTCAGGCTTTCCCGTGTCTTCTTGAAAGTCTGGTTGTAAGTCTAATTATAAAAACAACACACAGATGCTTCATGGTCTTTGCTAGTTAGAAAAAATTGCAGCAATAATAGCATTTCAGTCTAGTTTTGGGAGTTTGTAAGCTACAGTAGTTTGCAGATACTGAAAGAATTGAGGCCTGGGTATTCAAAAGTGTTATACACAATTTATGGTACATCCAGAGCGGTCGAGACAAAAACATCCCAGAAGATTTAGGAGAACAAGTCAAGGCATCCCAGTTTACTATTTACTATTGTTTATTCTATTTCTGTGTGAAGTGTAGTACTGTGGGAATCGATTTCATGTGAATGGAAGTTACATATAGATTATAGTCCTGCATATAAGGAGAGTTTGTCACTTTTTTGTTTAGGTAGAGGTCGGTTTCCTTTACAGAGTGGATTAAGAAATGAATGAAGAACTAAAGATGTGCAGTTGCCTCTTTGTCCAATGCAAACTTCAACTGCAGCCCAATCAATATTCATTAAAAAGGATCCACACATATCCACACACACATGGAATTAGTCTAACACATCGTCACAGCTCCCTCAATTGACCCGATCCACTGTGTGAACCAGAACACGACTGTTTCTCACTGCTCTCCTCTATTGTTGCCTTTAAGTATGCCAATCAATACCTCCAGCTGACACTCGCCAACCACTCAGTCTCTTCATCCCCCAGGGGGTGTGGTTTCAGTGTGTAACCTCGGGAGATACCAGAGCTTCAAAGAACGCAGGGTTGCTGTGCTGGAGGGCACAAATCCACCCCGCCTGAAGTCCAACACACAGATGCTCAGTTGATTGGGATGATGTGGAAAACACTGCCCTCTGCTGATACTAACCCCACATTAACTAGGATCTACAAGTCATTTCTGTCTCTGGTATTTCATGTGTGTAAACTGTAGTTGTTTGTGAGATATTCACAATTAACAGTAATTACAAACTGACAATGCCTCTTTGCAGATATTAAATATAGAATTATTAAAAAGAAATTAATAGCAGCTTCAATATGGCATGGATATATACACTCACCAGCCACTTCATTATGTACACCTATTAAATTGCTCATTAACAAAAAATTCTAATCAGTCAAACATATAGCAGCCACGCTGTGCATCTAGCCATGTAGATATGGTCAAGATGACCTGCTGAAGTTCAAATGAAATATCAGAATGGGGAAGAAATGTGATTTAAGTGACTTTAAAAGTCACACAGTTGTTGATGCTAGACAGGCTGGTTTCAGAAACTCATTTTCCCACACAACCATCTCTGGGTTTACAGTGAATAGTCTGAAAGAGGCATCCTGAAAGTATCCAGAGTGCAGCAGTTCTCTGGGTGAAAATGCACAGTTGATGGCAGAGTTCAGAAGAGAATGGCCTGACTGCTTTGAGTCAAAAAGAAGACAACAGTACCTTGAAGCAGATACTCGTCAGAAGCAGAACACCACTGCAGGTGATTCTCCTGTTAGCTAAGCACTGAAAACCGATGCTACAATTCACATAGTCTCACCAAAATTGGACAATAGGAGACTGGAAAAATGTTACCTGACCTGATGAGTCTTGGTTTGTACTGTGGCATTTAGATTGCAGGTTAAGAATTTGGAATTTTGGAAAAATTGGACCCCCTTAGTACCAATTGGGCATCATTTA